CCTTTAGAAAATCATATCAAACATTTACCAGTTCAGTCTGAAGAGGAAATCAATCGATTATTGGGAATGGCTATGGATATTGACATTATTTATGCACAAATTCACGGGGAAGTAGATCCTTATACTAAGAAAGCATATTTTTATTTGTATGAATTGTTAAGAAATTGTATCTTGTCTATGACAAAGCCAACTGTGGGAGGCCCGTTAGAGCAACCACCCTTTGAAAGACCTAATATAGCGAAAGCAGTAACGAACTTTGTTTTGTATAAAATTAGTCATTTGCCATGGAGAAAATGGCAGATTGTGTATGACATGGCAAGGTTGTTTTTATACTGCCTGAATTTTTTGAATTTTGAAGGATTTAATACCAGACGATTAACATTTAATGCAGATGAGGCTCCTGCTTATAAAACTAATTATACTCGCTGGCTTGTTTTTTGTCATGTACCTGCATTTTGTGACTCCTTACCACATTATGACATTCGTTTGATTTTTGGGAAAACTTTATTACAAGCTGTATTTAGATCACTTTGCAGAAAATTAATGGATATATGTAATAATGAAAGAGATAAACTTGCAACGGAGAGGGGAGTTTTAATTTCAACACATTTTCCCAAGTATGTCTAAGTATCTTTTTTATTTCTTATACACATAACTTGTAAATATCAAATTAAATTATCATATTTTATATTCAAGGTTTTTGTCATCGTTAGAAGTAGAAATTTATTCTGACAATTCTCCCATTTGGGATCCTGAATTTAAACAAATTCCACCTTCTCCTTTGCAAACGCCCGGGAATCAAAAGCTCAACAAGATATTCATCCAGGCTTAACATGCTTCAAAGATGGTGTAAAAAGTATTCCTGTCGAATCCATTCCAGGAATTCGTGAAACCGGTTCGGAACTTATAGATTGTATGGATATGTCAGAGTCTCTTTCTAATACTGTAAATAGTGTTTTGAATATACGTGAAGAATCTCAGCCTGGCCATTTCTGGAATTAGTAGACGAGGTTCCAGATTTCTATGATCATATAAAATATCCAAT